TTAATTATTTAAGTAAATTCCAAAATTGTTTCTATAAATTATATTCTAAATACGCAATGTGCATCTCAATGTACTTGTGCACATTAAAAGATTTAAAGCATATAAAAAAGAGATAAGACGAACGAAATATTAGATAACATGGTAGATTCTGATTATGCTGGTACCAATATAGATAGAAAATCCACCATAGGACTTGTCGTAAAAATGTATAGTAATGTAATCTTTTTGAAGTAGGTAAGCAAAGACAGGTAAGCAAAGCAATGTTACAAAATGCTCAACATTTTCAGAGTACACAGAATTATTAGAATCTACAAAAAAATATTATTTATTAAAAATCTATAGAAAATTTGAAATCATGAAATATTTGAAAGAAACTTTAACAAGCCAATGAATATGTATGAAGAATACTTAAGAGTGATAGTTATAGCAAAATTTGATAATTAAACGGAACATTCCAAACACATCGAAGTGCAATACGATTATAAAAATGAAAATTATAAAAAGAAAAATATTGATGTTATTAAAATTGATTAAAATAAAAATTTGGCTTATAAATTAAATGAAAGTCTATGTTAAGAAAAAGTCTTAAATAATAGAAACATGAAAGGATTTATAAACTAAGAACAATAAGAAAATTCAAATCGAAGTTAGGAAATCAAATGAACAAATGAAATGATAATAAAATCGTAAACAGTCAAGACTGAAAATTGAAGGAGGCGTCTTATTATACAGTGGTTGTGTAGTCTGCTCTGTATAAATGACTAGAAAAAGATACTTGTAACGATGTCTTTTAGGACATGTAAGTGGTAAGCTTTAAAAGCAATTATTTGTAAAAAGTGGGAAGCACTTACTAGTTAGAGAGGGAGATTATAGTTAATCGTAGAAGCAAATCACATCTCACCTTGCACTTAAGAAGTATCACTGTATTTACAATTAACTTAATTAATCGATTTTTTGAATATAATAATTGATTATTAAAATACTTATCTAGTGTCTATTAATCCACTATTTAAACAAAAAGCTACATTTGTTGACATTTACGCGTTTCTTTGATGGATATTAAACGTAACAGAGAATAAAATTTAATTAAACAATTAACATTCAATAATAAAGAGAACATAATTTAATGAATGAAACTAAGTTTAAAAAATGTATTGAAAGGTTTTACCCGTGCCTGTAATAGATCCCAATTGGTTTTTTCCAGTTACATATATAGAGAACTTTGATGAGAGTTTTTTTATAAATACATAAAAGAGTTAAGCATTAATGTTGCTTTGAAAACTAATTAAGCCTTACAATATATTACGAACCATAACAAAACTACAACAAGTGAAGAACATCTATCAGGTTTATTTTGTTGACAGTACGGCAAATGTGATATAAAAATACTGAGGTTAAACTGAAATATCGTTTAATTAACATACAAAAAATAATTATAGGGCATGCACAAGAAATTAAACACTTAAGACACCGCACACCATCTAATGGAATCAAACGATAGATTTAATAATGTGTTACAGTATTACATGTGTGTTAAAAACTAAAAAAACTTGATCTCGAGATCTTAAAAATAATTAAAATTAACCATCTGAAAAACAGTGATGAGTTAGAAAAATGTTCACTTAATCTAAATGTGGACTTTTATTAAAATTGATATTGGTGTTTTGATTTCTAGGACTCTTTTCAGCGTTTTCCATGCACGAGACTTTTTTTGCTTTCAACTTTTTGCCCTAACCGCACGGTGTGCAAGTCTTTCGTGCGGGCCCTTTGCAAAGTTTCCTTCAGACGACTTGGTCATCCGGTACTATTTACAGGATGCAGGGGTTGTTTCAAGCACACCCCAGCTATTATCAAGTTTAATGGAAAGATATTTTTCAATAAACCATTGAATTCACTGTAACGATCTTTCCTGTATGTTGACCTTCCTTCAAAGAGTAAGCCCCTGAAGGTCGAATCATCACCAGAATAATCGACTATTAGTTTTAAAAAACTGATAAGTGGTGTATCGGTATCCTGGGTACTCTTCCCATCAAAAAATCTCGAGAAAAATGTCTCAAAAATTTTCGACAGGGTTTGAACCCACAACCACTCGAGTATCTCTGGCTAGGAGGCGAGCATGCTCACCTCTAAACCATCGAAGCTCTTTTATTTAAGTTAAAATAATTGTTCTTTGTGAAATCTCACCTGTATATTATTAGTTTTTTTTCATATTTCTACATTCATGTATATATATTTATCTATTGATGACAACGATAAGCGATAATTTTGTATCAATTTATACTTGTCGTTGTTATTAATTTGTCTGACGAACGTATAATGTACCAAAGCAGCTGTTGCGTCATTAATAAAGAAATGTTTCATAAAAATCTAAGTCTCTCAGTGTGATTCTTACATGTGTGATATTAGAATCATAAATTCTCTCTTTATAATAATCCAAACTTAGAAAAAAAGTAGTTTGAACTCTACAACACATCTCACGTTTATCTCGATACAAATACTAAACTATTGAAACATCATAGTAGTTAATGGCGCTAACAGTGACATACACGAGTACTTAGCAATTCAATATAATTGTTTACAAGCTTACATCAATTTCAAATACTCTCGTAGAATGTAAATAATTTTGATCAATATAATTGTTTGTGTATGTGTAAATTAAAAAGTTTTAAAAAAAGCAATTGCAAACAGTTAGTCTATTTTGTCTTTTTTATTTGTTACAGATTAATTAACCAATTTTGTTAAATTATACATGCATTTTTGCTTCAATCTAATTTTTATTTCATCCACTATTGAAGCTTTTTTACTTAGAATGCTCATAATGCGCTTGGGTATTAGGAGAAAAAAAAAGAGAATGGAAAAACAAAAGAAAACTTAGATGCAGTCACTTTCCCTGCATACGATGTTGGTCTTCCCATGGCAGTTATTAATATCTGGCACGTAGTTGCTATGTTTTTCCTGAAGTGGAATATTTATAGTCATGCAGGTAGCGCGTGAAGCCATACTGCTATTAGATAGGCAGCCAGTACGAGCAATTGAGTTCCGGGTAATCCACTTCTTGCTTTTACATCTGAAGCGTCTAAGTAGCAGTCGCTTAATCTTGTCTTTCCAGACAAAGATCAAAAAGATTATGACACCTTGTAAGGTGTTAGTCAGATCAGTAACATACCATAGGTACTTGAGCACGTTATCTGCGTACAGCCAGGATATGATCTCCATTGACCAGTTAATGCCCATAACAATGAATAACTTCAAATAAAGGTTGAACCTGGGTACAAAAATAATAATTTTCAATCTGTCAATAAAAAAATTTGATTAAAAATTGAGTAAACAGCTGCTAATAAGGTCCTTATACTATTGTAGTGTATTATTTGTTTAGTACACAAAACTAATTGTATTTTGAAAATTTAAGACTATACTCAAAAATAAGGTCTTAAAGTATTTTTAACACGTTACTCAAATTTTTTGCTTATATCTTAGATATAACTTAAACACGTGTCATTGCTTTAGACCTGCAGACCTGTCTCGTAAATATGACTTTTGTACATGATGAAGTGCCGTATGGTGTTAAGATTCTACGTATACCCATTTTCAAGGGTTTGATGTAAATTATATCTGTTGTTTTATATAACTTCTTTTACTTCCCCTCCATGATTATCCTTTTTTCCATAAATATGGGAGTTCTTCATGGAGGCCCCTAGCAAAGTTTCTCTTGGACGACTCAGTCATCCATCCTACTGGATACTATTTACAGGGCGTAATGATCGTCTCAAGCAAGTTACAGCTGTCATTCAGCTTTAATGGGGGTTTTAATGATGCCCTACCGTTAAACTATTTAACTCACTGTGTATACCTTTTTGAAACTGATACCTTTACCAATGAACTGATCCCTGAAAAGAAAGCCATAAAGGTTCAAACATCAGCAGAAAAATCCACCATTCGTACTAAAAACCAGATGAGTGGTTTTTAGACATCTTACCCACTCATACCATCGAGAAAAGTTCAAAAAAATCTGAATATTTTTCTATGGGATTTGAACCAAAATTCTTTGGAATTCCTTTGACTAAGAAGGTAGCTCGCTAACCATTAAACTATCAAAGCTTTTCTAGCTATGATATATAAAACTATTAAATAAGGGTGTCAATCGTACATTCATGACAGTTCAGATATGCAGACTAATAGAGTTATTTTTTAAGATTCCAAGTTTCCTCATAGAATGACAATTAAATTGGTTAATTATAACCTTACATTTTATAAATAAACAACCAAACAGCTGCGTTTTAAACTATTCTAATGAAATAATGACAATATATACTTTCTCTAGCAGCTAACCTATGCCCCTATGTCAAGCCCCAAAAATTTAGTGTAAGTTATGTATTAAGGGTACTTTAAATGCTCTCTACACAGAAATAGTGTATAAGAGTTTATGGACCCAGATCCAATGTACATCCTCATATAACAAGTCTTTTATATGCTTCATCATAACTGTAAAAAAATCTGAAAATATAAATTTCAGATGGTTTAGATAATTGTAGTTTTTTAAAGAAAAAATCTTACTAAATGGTTTACACAAATTTTTCCCAAATTTATTATTCCTTATTTAACATTATCAGCAGGACTATCATGTTTCCCTTCATTCTAAACTGTCAGCGTACTTTGTGCTTTTTACATGATTGTTAGAGTATGAACTACAATGAACTTATGATAATAAAGCTATCTTGACTATACTTAAAGCCACTGTCTTCTGATGTAGAATGTATCTGCATTCACAACTTGTATAATAGTGAAATTTTTTTATTGTATTTGAAATGATTGGACTGAGCCTTGTTAAGAAATAAATGTTATAAATAAAATCAAAAAAGGTTAAACCAATATATCCAAAAATATTTACAAATACGCATAAAATTATAATAAGTTTGATTAACATACAGAGCACACATACTAGCGTATATTAATATTTAGTCATAAGGACAAAAGCTTTTGACCCCATACTCCCTCTACAGACCTCTTAATTACTAAATCCATTCGCTTTCCGCAAAAGATTTTATGGTTCGAATTACGTAGTCAAGTTTGTTATCTATTATATTTATTTGGTACCTACATTTCTTATCTATTAAAAGAATAAGAGATTAGTAGCCTTCTTGAAAATGTTTGCAAAACTGTTGATTTCTTGAATGTAATTTTAATATTTGTACAACTGTTATAAGTCTAGTTCTTAAGAATGTTTTCCTGAAAATTCTTTTGAGTCACGAATTTTTTCTAAATATCTCTTTTTTCTTAAATGTTTAGGTCCTGGTTATAGTCGCTGTAATAGTAAATGGGTTCTGGTAAAGTCTTGATTTTTTTATAGAGGTTGCGTAGGAGCTTACTTTTTTGGGCTCTTGTAATTGTATTCCTATAAGCTGTGCTTAGAGTTAAGGTCAAGCCAAATAGTGAGATGAGGCAAAAGAAAATGGAAGGGTCATAGAGTAATATAATTTTAATGAACACGAAAAAAGTAATTATTACTTTTAGTTCAACTGCTTTGCAGTGAGTAGTATCCGTACTTATTATACGATGGTAGGTACTTTTACTAACGAGGATCACCACATCACCATACGATTGAGCATGCTGTCATTTGAATAAATCCTTCCAAGATTTGTAAAACGTTGATAAAAATTTCAAGACAATAACATTTAAGAAATTCTGAAGCTAATACTGCCAGACTGTCAAAAAATATCAGCGTTACAGTATTAACTTATAGAATTAAGATCATCTTTACGTAAATCGTTCTATAAAATATTTTTACGGTAGTCAAAAATCTGTTGTAATGTACTGTTACGGGGTGGACCACGCGGATTGACGAGGTGGAGTCTCTCCACTTCGACCGGGCCTGGGTTGCCCAGATACCCAACGGTGACACTCCCTGTAATATATTTTGCGAGTCTCGTTCACCGAGACACCGCTGTTGGATCAGGTATCGCGGTGACCTTACACGTCGTCGCCTCTCGCGACGTCTATAACACGGTACAACGGGGGATCGGGCACACAATGAAAGGAAGTAGCACTCGCGGTTATTTTTTTGTTAATAAAAATGTATATTCAAGGAATATGAATTGATTACAAGAAAAGGTATTCGCGGGTGTGTGTGTGTGTGCGTGTGTGTGTTTAATTCTCGCACGTCGAGCGCGCTTGCTCGACGTGCTCGCGGCGCGAAAACGCGAACCGGGCAGATAACGCGGGCTAATCTAGGGCCGCTGCCCTTTACAACAGACTGCCTGTTGGCAGGTACTTACGCGGGGCGGGAAGGTCGCTTCTCGCAGCTGCCTTGGATAGGCCAAACTAGATGTGGTTGGTGTGATCTCGCAGAGGCCAGTAGGCGTCCCTACTGGCTGTGTGTGGAGATCAAGGTCGTCAGACCTGGACTTGGTCTGCCCTTGTCGTCGGTTTCCAGAGCCAGATCACGACACCAACACTTCCCGTGGCGTTGACTTCGCACCACCACTTCTCACAGGAACCAAAAAAAAACGAACCAAAAAGCGAACAACAAAGCAACAGGAGACGGCAACACGGAAAAAACTCGCTTCGCGCGCGTTCGCTGGCCCAAGTTAATCTAATCTCTCCTCGTTTCCCTTCCTGAGTTTCCTCTCTTTTCCCTTACCCCTACTTTCCCACTTAGGTCCCTTGAACTCTTTTTCCCCCTTTCTCTACCCGCTCTACCCTACTAACTTGGCCTAACGGTGGGGCACCGTTACAGTACTTATCAAATTAAAAACAGTATTTATAGTAATCACCTGCTAAGATACTAAAAAAATTGAAGTTTCTTTAGCTATTTTAAATAAAAATCTTGGCTCTCAAGAATTTTTGAGGAAACGTTCTTAAGAACTAGACTTATAACAGTTATACAGATAAAAATGTTACATTCAAAAAGCTTACTGTTTGTAAATATTATAAATAATACATATTATATAAAGGGTAATAATATATAATACAAGCGGTAAAAATGAATTATTACCAGTATTCAGTGTTATTCTTGGCACGAAAACTTTATTGCCTCCTTTTTTCCGATTATTATTTCTGCTTTTATGTGGTATTTAATAATTTAATTATGCGAAGTCTAGTTCCATTNGGGCCTCCTCGACGCGACGACGCTCTTCCTCTGCGAGGAGTTGGCGCGTCTCGACCCATGTATTATTGAAGGCCGCAAAGCATTTGCGGCCGATCAGGGCCGTCTTTTCGGCCTTGGTGGTCTTGGTCGTGGAGCCGCGCTCCCGAACATAGGCCTCGACCTCCGTGAAGGCGGCGAGCGCCTTCTCCCGGCTCGCCACGACACCTTCCCGGGCCTCGTTGAGCCGCTCCAGGATACCTTCCCAGGCGTCGTCTGGAGCGGCCGTGGCCTCGATGGCCAAGAGCTGTGGCGCCTTCGTGGCCTCTGGTGCTGGTTGTACCGCCGACGATGGGTGGGCCTCGTCCTTGCCTCGGGGCTCAATGGCTAGTCGCGGTGTTGTTCGTACTTGGGATCTGAGGCCTCGTTGAAAGGCCTCGACCAGCTCGGACCTCTCCTGCTCATTAATGACGTACCTGAGGCGTCTGATGAGACCGCCCAGGCTAAGGTGTGTTGTTTCTATCTCTGTAACAATTCTGCCCCCAGAAAATAAAAGAAACAAAAAGTGGGGAAAAAGAAGAAAACACAATTAGTTAGGATGGAGGCGCTTACAAAATTAATTTTTTTTTCATTCTACGGGTCCGCAGCCATCGCATAACGCTCGGCGATTGACCCGTCGTTGGGTCGCATGTTCGGACGTCGTCGCATGGTCTGCCTTCAATCGCAGGCGTCTTAGCCGCGGCGGATGGCTTCGACGCCACGGTCGTTTTTCGCGGACGGCCTCGCTTTGGCCTGGCTGATCCGGCAGCCTCGCTTACATCGGGTGGATTCGCTGAAGGCGGGTCGCGCTTCGCCTGTTCGCCGCTTTCCAACGGTGGTTGAGGAACGCTAGCCACTTCTTCTTCGGACCCCGAATCTTCACGAGGATCTTCTCTCGCCGTCGCAGAGGGTCTGCTCACGTAAGGCTTCAACTGCCTCACGTGAATGGGGCCTGATTGCGTGCCGTCCTCGGATTCCAACTCGTACGTGTTGGAACCCAATGCCTTCCGGACGGTAAAGGGGCCGGCGTACCTTGGAGCCAATTTCGCTGCCACGCCTTGCGTTGCCGAGGACAAGACGTGGTTCTCCCGCCATACCTGATCACCAGGAACGTAGACCACGTCGCGATGCTTGGCATTGTAATG